AGAAATAAGGTCGGGATAATGTTTGTGTGTTTGTCACGCTTAAAGACTAAAGCTATACTCCAAATGGAAATTCTGGTAATTGGAAAAGATCAACATGATTTCTGTGATCAGCTGGGATGTGCACGGTCAGGACACTGATAACAACTCGATTATATTGTGAAATCCAAATATTCTGTATAATCAGATGCACTTCCACCGCGTGGAACCCTGAAAAAGATTCAAGATAATTACTCCCAAAGATTTAAAAAAAACACGAAAGATTGTAGTTTGTAACACGATCACACGACACTTCAGAATCCGAAATTGCTGAAAATTTTTATGTGTTATCATCTGTTTCAGACAACAACAAAAACAACGAATGGGGAATACGACGCTGCCATATCAAAAGAAATACTTTATTTACACCCATCAGCTGACTGTTGGCAACGATGCTAATCTTTGTTATGTTTTGTTGATAAAGTGCTGTGCTATGATAACAAGTGACTTCTGTAGTGACGTGACGCGAAATGCACGCATTAATGCAATAAGCATATTTTCTGTGTTTTTCATTATCACTTCAATGCTAATACTTCGAGAAAGAGAATATTTGAGACGATTGGACGCTTTTCCTCATAGTTTTACTTAGTTTTTTTATCATCATCTTTTTGTCGGTGCTTTGATCGAACACTTTCCTACTCCAACAGCATTGAACTTTCCTAAGTAAGTCAGTATACTGTGAAATATTTTCGTCCCTTATTTCGTTTTCTATGCATCGATGTCTGTGTCAATTGAGGAAGTTTAATAATTCAATGACAAACTTATGATTGGCGAAGTCTTAACGGTTTCTAAGAGTCAACATAGGTACATGATATGCTATCAAGATTACTAATTGCAAATCAGCCCTTGATGAGGTCCAGAAAAGAAACATTCCAAGCGCTTCTTACACTAATGTCAGTCTTTAAATCTACACAAAATAATTACCTACCATCCTTGGTCTTTGACAAACACGAAACAGACTCACCGGAGAATGATCCACACATGAGCTCGCTGTGAAGAAATCATTTCCCTTCACCAACATCTCACCTCCTTTGCTTATCAATTTCTCGGTTGCTATGTTTTTGCATCAGATGTGTGGAACTTCCTCAATAATTGAGGAAGCGCTTACCTTTTCTCTCCTGTCGGTATGCAACAGTATAGAGCTCCACACTTCAAGAGTGCGAACATCTTTGAGTGAAGGTGGATAGGATGTATGTCCAGTTGTAAAAAACCACTCTTTACTGAAACCAGTCAGTGTACTCACACACCTAAGTAATATCTCATATTATTCTGACTATTTATCTGCTTTTTATCAAGGCCTTTTGCAACGTTGTTTTAGAAAAATCACAGAAATTAGTATCTTGAGACATGAAATTAATATATATTGGTTTTCAGGTATGAGCTGCAACAAGATAGTTGATCTGATGTGTGGTCCTATAAAGAACTTGGAAGATCTATTTTGTTGGCAAGTACCTGAGCTATCATGGGCAGAAAATGTCATCAACTTAAAAAGCAAAACCTTCTTCAGCTACGCTGGTAAAGATTGGAGCTGTAAGGATGTACCGCCAACAAATGTATCCAAATACTACAGTGAATCAGTACCGAAGACACTGCTTTGTCATGATATGAAAGGTGGTTATTTGAATGACAGGTAAGTCAGAAATGCCTAATTTTAGACAGTTATGTATCAAAGAAGATATTTAATTGAGGAGCTTTCTTACCACCAGGCTACGAAATTTAATTTCAATCATTAATATTCATCTTCATTAAGAACCGTTTATTGTCAGTTTTTATGCTATATTATTTGTTGTCTCCAAAGGGACTTTGCCAAATCATTATGTTCTCTGTAAAATGGTTGATGGGATTCATGTTTCAGGAAGTTCAAATCGGTCCTCACAAGTACCCTTATACCTACTTATACCTTAGCACCAAGCTACTTATACCTTATTTTATTATTCTCTCTTCCTGTACCTAATTAAGTGCAATTTTAAACAGATAAATTCTGTAAAAATGTCAAGACATTGAGAATTTTCCTTTCATTGGTTATCTCAATTTCATGCCTTTGAATTTTTAGATTTGTTAATGGAGCAGCATCTTGTGATGACTACAAATTCATTCATTGGAGTGGAATCGATATTTTTGTTTACTTCAGCCATGAATTCATAACAGTGCCACCTCTTGCGTGGATCAATGCTGGTCACCGACATGGTGTTCCTGTCCTTGGTAAAGATAATTTTTTTCTCCTTGTAAAATTTTATTGTGGCTACAATAGAGGAGCAACACATGATAAATCCTTTTTTTTTTTTTTTTTTTAAAAGAAATTTTATTTAAATATATCGTAACTACTACAAGTGTTTCTTGTATCTATCTACGTGGCTTAAAACTAAAACTTAACAAACTGCATTAATTTTATATGTTAACGTTAGATAATACTATGATTATCTAAAAGAACAGGAATTGTAAATTCTCTGCCTTCTTTCTTAAATGTAATAAATCCTGTTATAGATTAATTTTGCTGAGTACCTATCTAAATTTTCCTTTAAAATCAGAATAAATACGGATTTGGAAACTAGACACAGCAAAGACCCTGTATGACCCTCACCAAGACCTTGTGTGGTTACATCAGTCAAATTGTGATTTGAACCACATTTACTTAACTGCACGAAAATATTTGACATTCTCTTGATCCTATTCCATTTAGATAATTTATTTTAAGTACCTATTGGAGGAAACAAGCAATAGTTGTGTACCATTGAAAATTTTCCATCAATATTTTTTACAAGGTGAAGAAAATTTAAAGAAATAATCCTTGATAGTTTTGTATTTTGAAGACTAAAGCATGAAGAAAAGTTTTAAACCTTATATGATAACTCTATCTTACTGAAATATATTTTCCTTATTAATTTTATCGATAATAATGCTTGGTCTGTAATGGGCCATGGATAGTCGTAAGTTAAATTAATTACAGACAGTCTGCCTCTCTTGGATGCTATCTATCAATGTTGCAAAGATGACGAGAGCATGGTCTGCTCATTTTTTCATGCCGAAACTGAATTTTAATAACTTAGCTCCTTCACATCTAAAATGAGTGGCAAGTGACCCTACACCTAACAAGTGAGAATGTATACTTTATCAGTTCTTGGCAAGAAAGTAGAACGGCATCTTTACAGTGCTGTGAATAATGCGTGTGCTTTATTTTTATTGTAGGTACACTGATAACAGAGGGGAAACAAGGTGAAGATCTGTGGGAAACGGTCCTTGCTAGTGAAGAAAAAGTACAGTCACTTATCTCAAAGATGAATGCCGTTTGCAATCACTATCGCTTTGATGGTTACCTTCTGAACATAGAAAATAAGATCAACCCTGCAAAAATGACCAGCTTGGTAACTTTTGTTTCTAGACTGAAAAATTCCCTGGGCACAGATAAATTAGTGATCTGGTATGACTCCGTCACCCACCCTGAAGGGAAGCTCGACTGGCAAAATGAGCTAAATTTTCTAAATAGGTATGTACTGGCGTTACATACCTTCTTAGGCTTAGATTTTCCTGAAATTCTAATTTACTATTTTATAGCTTTTACAGGGTTGCCACAGTCAGGGAAAACCGGGAAATGTCAGGGAATTTTAAAAAGTCAGGGAAAATTTTTTTTTTTTTTATTCAGTATTATATACAATTAAAATACAATACAACAATATGATCAGACTCATCGAGTCTTTTTACACTTAAATTTAACACTGTAAGTATACTAGAATAAGAGAGGCACTTTTTGGTGGTCTATTGACACTAATAAAAAGAAAAGACAAAATTTGAAAGACTGAGAATATGGTGGTTAAAATTGTTAAGATATATGAGTAAATATGAGTCGTGGAAAAGAAGAGCTAAATAGAATGAGAATGTTACTATACAAAGACAAAATTAAAAAAAAAAATTAAAAAAATTAAAAAAAAAATAAATTAAAAAAAAAAAAATGTCAGGGAAAATGACGAAAATGTCAGGGAGAATTTCTTAAATCACCTTCATTTGCTTTCTAGAATGGGTTTGAGGTTTTGAACAGGAAATTTTGCCTGAAAACTATTTTCAATTATTTAACCATCTGTCACAGCTTCAATTGTCAAGGAATTTCACCAAAATGCGTCAGGGAAATCAGGCAAATGTCAGGGAATTTCATTTTCTAAATTCTGTGGCAACCCTACTTTTAATGGCCCAAGGCATCAACATCCCTCGACTGACTAACAACAAATTTATGAAGCAACTGATAAGAGAAAATAATATAAGTAGCCAAAACCCCTGCCTGCGTGTTTCTAATTCACACTGATAACTCTTAAAATAATGTATCCATTTTCAAAATGCTATTATCAGTCTCCCATCTCCTTCCAAGACTTAGAGCCTGGGGTGCCATTTTTCTTGATGTTTGATCACGAGTGAGAGATGAGTCGAGTGTTCAACTCATTCAGTCTATTTCTGATAATCAAATATTTGCCTTTTGATAAACTTGCTTCAAATGATATAACTCCCCAGATGACGATTGGAATGTCATTGGGAAAAAGAAAAGTAGAATTGTATAAAAATGCAGGAATTCTATCCATAAAAATTATGAATGAAGGAGGATCAAGTAGGGCAAGTATTTTTTTTCATTTGAATTTGGTTACTTACAGACAAAATTCAATGAAATCAAGTCGCAGATCATTTTCACCGTAAAGTGTAATATCTCTGAGCAGCAGATACTGAATAAACAAATGATTCAATGTAACAATAGTATGATAGTTGTGTGGAAGTGAACTTAAACAGAGATTGTTTTTTCAAAAGCACAACAGATTTTTCTGAGTATTTTCGAATGGCTTGTGTCATACATATAGAATTATTTCTTCTAAAGCCAAATTGGTGGTATAAATATGGGCTATGTTTGATCTAACACCAACAATTCCAAGAAATTTTGTTTGGGAAGAAAAGGGCAGTGGGTTTGTTGTGAGTTTTCTTTCCCTCACCAATTAAAGAGCCCTCTAGTTCTCGTACCTTTGTTTTTAATTCACATTTAATCTAGGCTGGTTGCCTAGATCCTTACATTTGAATTTGCCCTCTTTTTCAAGAATTATTGTTACAAAAACTCTCTTTTGTTGACAAATTGTTTCAATCATAAAGCAGTCGGTAGAATTAACTCCTCTTTTTCATTATTTCGATCGAACTTAATTCTTCAATGAATGTCTGAAATCCTCCGAGCTGCAAGCTTAGATTGCTGGCACTGATCCAATATGCAATGTATGAATTAAACACTTACAATGCCACAAATACAATACAATACTTACGTAATACTTATAATGTATACTTTGCTTTCAAAAATATAAAACAGAGCATTTTTTGAAGCTTGCGATGGAATTTATCTCAACTATGGATGGAACGAGGACAAACTTAGAGCAAGCATTTCTCGAGCAGGTGCTAGAGTCACAGACGTTTTTGTTGGAGTTGATGTCTTCGGGAGAGGCTGCTATGGTGGAGGAGAGTTCAACTCAGTTGTGGTGAGGAATTTGTGTCATTACACTTCTTAAAAATAGAGGATAAGTATTTCAAAGGCTCAACGAAAATGACTTCTCAGTGTGGAAAAGTTGTTTCTAGAATCACCACCACATTTTTCTTAATCGAGAGGAGCAGATTGAAAAAGGTGTCTAGCAAGCATGAAGAATCCAAAAAAGTTTTTCAGTACTGCTGAAAGTAGCATTTATCATCATGAACCTAGGATAAAATGTCATTGGGCTTTTGAAAATGTTGAACTTCAACTTTGCAGATCGTTTGGTCAGCCAGCGGCAGGCCTCAAAAATATGTGTTTGAGAGCCGGACTACATTTTGTGACAAATTCGGAACACAAGTTTTGAACACTTAAATCGATAGCCTTACATGCTGTGACATGGAAAATTGTCGTTGTCCACGTCATAGCAAGTGCTAACATATGGCAAACAACCATTTTCCAAGTCAGTTCAGATTTAAGTGGTCAAAACTTGTGTCCCGAGTTTGTCACAAAATGTCTCTATCCAAAAGTTTTTTAAAATTCTATCTGCAGTCAATTTTTTTAAAATTTTCAGTAGATTTTTAATTTTTTCAGGTTATAGCTTTCTTGATCAGGTTACATCCGAGCCTCTGCAGTATTTCTTGTTACCTCAATTTATACATTATACATTGGAGGAACGAGAAATAATGTTTTGATTTTTTTTTTTCATTTAAAGTTTCTAGGAATATTCCATAATTTTATCATTACATAATGAATTATATCCACTTAAATTTTATTGCTTTCTTAGGCAGTTGCAAAAGCTCGAGAACTAAATCTATCCATAGCAATATTTGCCCCAGCTTGGACGCATGAGTGTCAAAACGAATCGTTGGATTATGTTCAAAGAGAAATGAAATTTTGGGAAATGTTATGGCCTTATTTGTATCTACATGGACCAGCGTCCCTGCCTTTTTCAACATCTTTTTGTCAAGGTGTTGGAAGGAAAACTTTTTTGGAAGGAGAGGTAAGATTCAATATAAATTTTCTCAAAACTCCATTTTTCTCCTCCATTCTCTTTGGCTTTACAGTGTTCAGTTGTATTCCATGTCTTTTAATGCTAAACTTTTTCACCTCTCTTTTGGCTGTCTTTCTCATGCATTATTTTAAATGCAATTTGAAAAAATTTAATAAAATGCAACGCCGAAGTGTTATCGTTGCATGCCTGCTAGATGTAGGGGTTGAAATCATGGAAATGTAAAAATTATTTTTGTGAGTAAAAGATAATGAAAATTGATGGGTGCACCATTGCTAAGGAAATACTCGTTGGTGACAGTAATGAGGGAATTCTAGAGTTATGTGTAGTAAGAAACACATTTTTTTAGAAAAAACAAAAGCAGGTTATAATGACAATCCTCTTTGTACTATTAAGGTTGTTAGTATTTATGTGCTTTCTAGAACAAAAGTTTCCAAATTCTGAAGTTGATATTCATTATTGCTTGCTGCTATGATACTTCAGAACAATTATCCATAAAACCCCTCATCATTGCACCAAGACAACATCACATGGGTATCATGAATGAAAAACAATTTAGAGGAAAGAAATCACCTCCTGTCATACCAGTTAATAATGGTGCTAAAGCACCATGAATAGAATTACTCAACATTCCAAGAAATTGTTCTTAAAGGCAGAATTGCTGAATTTTAACCCATTTCACTCCAAAATAACATTAACTTTTTCAAACAAGAAAAAGAAAAGAAGAAAGAAGAGAAAAATTTCTCCTCTGGACGTAAGCAGTTGTCACATTAGCCATTAAATAGTACGCGAGACAGGACTGGTTGAATAATATACGCCAAAACAAAATCTAAAGCATGCCCACATAAAAATAAGTGGAGTGTGCTACATTTATATTTGCAAGGCAAGCTAAAAAAACAAATCAGTATAAATTTTATTGGTTTCAATTTTCATCAGGCACTCACAGATTCGCCTTGGTACAACCTGGCAAAACAGGAGTACCAACTTACAAAACCATCCTGCATTGAAGACGTTGGTTGCAACCCAGATATAAAGAGATGTTTCCACTACACAAATCAGTGTGCCTATAAAGGAGGTTGCTGTTTGCTGTTTGCAAAGCATACAGGTGTCAACACTTATCGGTAAGCACAAACAGCCACAGCTTTTAGTTTCATTGATTTTTACAACAGCAATAATATAGTTTTGCCACTCCAGAATGGGCCTGTTGCAAACTTCAGCTAGAACTAAAAGAAGATTTGTTACTTAAAGAAAATGGCTCAAATGTATTTGCACTTCTACACTTAATTTTCCATATTTTTTTCTTTTCTCATAAGAGCTCTCAGTTTTCTACCTAAATTTAGTGTGTAGTTGTGCTGAATGTGTCTAATTCCAAGGGAGCAAGTAGCATCAATATTTCTGAAAGTAGGTTTTTCTAAATGTATAAAACTGAAATATCTTTTATCTCTTACATTTGTTTTTCTAATTAGGCTTTTCATGTGCGGTTTTGTCAATGATGGAACTGTTTCACTTAAAATGATCTTCGCTGTCAAGCCGATAGATGCAACTAAAAAAATTGACTACAATCTGGTTCTCACTGTCAGCGATTCCTTGGGACCCACTTCGTAAGTTTGATCCTCTCTTTACAAGTGTTTGCTCACCTCAAGGGATATTTCAATCGAAAGCAGATGGAACATGTAATATTTATCTCCTGCATCAATTTCTTTGGCATTCACTGAAGGGAAATTTTTAGATACCCCATTTTGCCAATGAAATGTTCCATAGAATAAAAAAAAAATGCTTTCTGATTTTATAATGCTCAGAGGAATTAAAAATTAGTTTCCACAGAGAAAAAGGCAGCGAGTTAAATACAGCCCTAAAGTACAAAATCTTCAATTGGTACCTGAAAATTTTACTTTTGGCTGGTTATTTTCCCCATTCTAATGAACTATTTTCATTTCAACAAGCAAAGTCCCTCTACTCATGAGAATCTATTAGGTAATTTTGGTAAGTTTGAATTCATGTTGTTTATGATATAACATGAACTCTTCTTGTTTGAATTTTGTTTTCATCTGCAGGGAGCTCAAAAACAACAGTCGAAGGAGCTCGAGGAGTAAAAATTTAGTTTTAAGAAACAGTGAATTCTTAGCAAATGAAGAGGACTACAGCGCCATAATAGTGAATTCAGAGTCTTTAAAAGTAATCAACAATTGGAACATCAAGTAAGTGTACATCTATTCAAAACTTTTACGCAAATCTAAAGCACTAAAAAGCGCTGTTTGTTTTGTGACAATCCATTGAAAAATACAATTGTTCAAAAGAAACATTTCCCACCAAACCTCGGCACAAGTTTAAAAATGAATGAGTTATTGCCCTCTAAACAAGAAAGTATGATCAATGTTTACTTTCTTGCCGTAATCATGTACAAGATGTAGTTATGTATTAGTTGCAACTATTAATTTTTTCTTTTTTTCTTTCTTTTTCAATACATGCTAAGTGAGAAAATCCCAAAGTATTTCAACTCATATGTATTCAAATTCAAATTTTTGCTCATTGTCATTGCTTATATGGTGATCATCAAGTTCCAGTCATCAAACATGATTTCACAGTGAAATGGACCCTTCACCAGCTACAGCAAAATTTTTACATCATCGACAAGGGGGGGGGGAGTTGTCATGAAATAATAAAAGCACCGAATATACGCATTGAAGCTGCATAGACTCGAATCTCATTTGCCATGTTGCAAAATTTCTGCGCCCATTTAATTTTACCAACACAGTTGCTAGAGATTTTCACAGAATATTCTTCACACAGAGAATAAAAATAAAGGAAGTTCTCTAGAAATGACGTTGAACATTTCTCAGTTTTAAAAAAATGCTATGACAAGAAGTTTGCTGTGGGGCAAAGCAAGAAATGTGGTTTTGCAATTTCATCAACAACACGCTTTTGCAACTTGAAACTTTTTCTTTCTTTATCTTGCTTTCTCATGTGAGTGACACACAGTCTAATATTGTTGTAATTTATTCAGTCAGTACAGATTCAACTATAGAGGAATCCTGACAGACATCTCCATGGTTGTGCCTGAAAATTGTGAGCCATTCATGATTGGTCTGCTGCAAATAGAAAAGAACCAGTTCATCATTGCTGATAACTACTTTTGATCCGACAATCCAAGGAGTGAACGCTTGCCTGAAGAAACCCCTCTAATCAGGGTGAGTTAATCTTTTTGAGGTCAGCTGACTTTCTGGAACACTGGTCTCAGGTGGCCATTGTCAGGAGATATTTGTAAGTTGCAAAGTTACTCTAAGTGCTGTTATAAAAGCAATTACATATTTGAATTAGAAATTCTCAAAGGAGTATAGAAGGAAGGACCATGTTAGTGAACCGTTATTTATCTCATGTTCCCTTGGGAGTCAAGTTTGTTTTGTATATTATTTATCAAAATAAACTCTAATTTATTCAACTAGCCCATTAAACTTGTGTGGATCACATCAAGTCTTTAAATGCTCTAAATGCTCAAGGTCAAGAGGTTCAAGTTGAGCAGCTGTGTTCATATTTGTATCAATAAAGGGCATAAAGTTGAGCAATAATTTTGTACCTTCAACACTATCATCATTCCCATCTGATTCGATAATTTTGTGAGTTTTTTGTCGCACAAAGTTCTTAAAACACTCATCTTTGATCTGGTATCATTGAAACTACAGCATTTATATCAATTTTGAGGACTGAGGTCCGGTTTCTCATAAACGATCATATCTAGAATTTTAAAGCTGATTCCCTTGATTCTTAAAATCTATTTCAGGGTCCTGCTCACTGTAACAAACCTGGTGAATTGGTGAGCCTCTGTTCATCGCTTTTCCTCAATAACATTTCGAACTGTATTTGAACATTGTATTTGAAATTATTTCATTTCTGTAAAAGGTACGGACATGGTGTTAATGATATTCACTAGCCTGCTGATTTTATTTAGTTCCAAAAAGCCATCATAAATCTTATTACATATAGTTTACAGGCAGCAAAAGTGCAGGAAACTCCTCGAAGCAAAATAAATTAATCGCAATCTTGCGCTAAAAATTTCCTCATCCCGTCAAAAGATTTTAAATATGCATTGAGCTGAAAATTTTTTTTCTTTGCTAAAAAATGTATGAATATATTAAAAAAAACCGTTTTAATAGAAAAATTTCCTCACAACACTTGTAAACTGGAGCTCTCATGCTCGATCATTTTTGCATGCCTTACAGACATGTTCCTCTAAATTTTCGATCTGCTGAAGACTCATTACCTTTGGAACTCCAAAAATTAGAGGAGACAATAAAAAGCATACCTACACTTTAGCTCGGAAATAATAGCATTCACTAAATAATTTATTACATCACATTTTACTTTTCGCAGATTGCAATTGTGTCGTTTTTAGCTATTTCTCCTGTTGTTTGGATGATTTTCAAGAGGTATGATTGCATCTTAAGAATGAATGCCAGTCAGTCTATGATCGTTTCATTGAATGATGAAAGTTAAAATTTCAAGTTTAAGGGATGCTATTCAAGTCACCAGCACCCCTCGAAGCTTGGTGCCTCCGGCAGTATGCCATGTAAAGTACCTTCAATGTTGAGACAATTGTTGGAGTGATTGATAAGACACTGATTCATGTAAGTCATTGAAAGAAAGACTTTTTTATTCTTAAGGTTCTATATTTAAAAGCGTTTCTCCATTACCTCTGTCCCGTTTTCATTTTCAAACTTTTCAATCCAAATAGAAAAAAAGTTTGAGTTGAGCATTTGCTTGAAAACAGTTGAATTTTGCCAAGATAATAACATTTTCTCCCCCACCTAGTTATTCTATTTTAAGCTCTTGTTTTTTTTTTTTCTGAATTATTTCTGAAAAAATAATGTTACCATGATTACACATAGTAAGTAATCCTCTTTGTGTAAGTATGTAACTTGTGCATTTTTAATCTTTTTAAGTGATATTTTATGGGAATTTTGTATGAAAGAGAAGTATTTTTTATAAAAGTAATTGTTCCGGCTCAAAAATAAATCTATGTTTTATTTTTTGTTTTCAACTGACTTCATAACTATTTCAATGAATTTCTGCATGATAGATAATGTATTGGCTCAAAAATCTCATCTAAATATTGACCTATCGCAAAAGATAGAGCAGGGATAGTCTTCAAATGATACCAATTAGCAAGGCCTACAGTTTCGCAGTTCTGAGAGTCTGTGTCAGCACAATAAGACATCTTAATGCGATATATTAATGATAACTCACCGGACAACAGCCAAAAAAACACGAAAAAATGTTGCTGCAATATTTTTAGCCATGGAGTTGTGAAGTTTTTGCTGTTTCCAACCACCTCTAACGACCACTTGCCGGGTGGGAAAGATAGGGTTTTGTCTTATTCCGTTGAGCCAACATGGTTTTAATAATTGGTCTGCAGAAGTCTCTAGTTTAAACTTTTTTCTTTTGGTCTCTATTCTTCGAAGTGCAAGCATGAAAGCCGTCATCCTAGGATTAGAATTTTAGAGGAAAATTATTTGTTGGATTTAGAATGGATAATAACGTCTCTTGAAAAAAATGCCTCTGAATTTATTTACATCCGCAATATGTTTGAGGTGTTTGTCAATATGGTTTCAGAAAGTTTACCCGCCATTTTCACCTTGCACAATGTCAGCCTAGATGGTAAGATTTCAAACCAGTGCACATTTCGAAATGGCTCCTTGTCTGTTCATTCTCAGACTTAACCAGGGATAAGGCAAATTTTACTTGATGCTATATCTAAATTTTAAATATCTTTACTAATATATGATTCTCCATAAGAGTATCAGATTGACTATGCAAGGTGACAAGTTTCCTTAAATCTCAAGGTCACTGACTTTTCTGGGGGTTTTTTTAAGTATAGTTAATGCTGTTAGGGAGGGTTAAACAGCTAGAATGCAAAGCGTGCTCCATGGGTAAAAATATTGATTTTTTTCTTGTGCCCACGGAAATGAACTGAACTGCTCACAACTTATTTTTTAGGATATCTCTGAGTGTTTTCTGCCGAAGGTTCAAATTTCAATTTGTTGACCAAACTTAACAAAAATCACTTCCTTCGAGCAATGAAGCCCCTTTTTTCGTCGCTGCCGTGTTACGGTAGAACGTCATATCGACTGTAAAACCGCAGAAACATGTATCTCCGTTTACAACGTAGCAGACTTCTCCTCACACTTTATTTTTTAATCGGATTCAACTCATCTTTTCTTGAAAACCTCATTGATTTTTTCTTCTACGTGCAAAGAATAATCTATAAAAATTTCTAGCAATATCGTTGGTCTGTTTTCTCTGTGGGTATAAGGTAAAATTAAATCGAGGATCTTTCAGAGAGAGACTTCCCTATGTAGGTATACTTAGGTAAACGAAATTAAATACTCCTTCATCAGTAAAATAATATCGAATGTAAGGAACTGATGCTTAATTACATTTCCCTACTTCCACCGACAAACCTCTTTTATTGGTGATTTTCCGATTATTACCTAGGTATACCGTTATTCTGATAATCTATTGTTGTTCCGATAAATCGTCTTTAAAGGAACAGAGCGCGCTCATTTTGTGCGGTTGAGCATAGGGGAGAATTTCATTAGCCGCCGCCTACCCGCAGCGCACTTTGATCCAAAACTGAAGAATAGGAAGAAATAAGTCGTATAATGATGGAAAGATAACGGAAGTTTCGCAACCTATGTTTTTTGAGTTGCTAATTTCGAATTTGATGTCAAATTGCCTATATTTTAACACCCTTACTTATTAATTGTGGGCAAGTTTATGGCACGCTGCAGCGCTGCGTGCATGCCAGCTCGAAATGCCTATGTCTTGAACGTTTGAAAGTTTCCATTCCATATTAAGTCTATTCATGAACAATGTTATTCTATTTTTTGACATGAAAGAACTGAAGCACTATACTTATCAATGGTGAAGGTCGAAAAACACATGTCGCATTTTATTTTTTCAAAGCTAATGAACACTATTTCCTGGAATTTTTTCTCCATCCTAAACAAAATATTCTGTGGAAGTCTCGGAATAAAACCGTTTTTCTATTCTTTTTCGAAAAAAAAGGAGATTTTTATTGGTCATGATTGAGGCTTGCGTTTTTTGACTTTCACTAGATATGCAATGCCACTCTGTGTGCATATAGAACCACATGTACATGTTGCCAAATTTTCTGGAAGAAATTCCGTTTCAAGTGGAAAACTAATAATTTTTTTTTTTCTTAATATCAATTTCAGGGAATAAAATCGATCAAGTTTTTTATTAAAAATAGTTGTCTATTTTGTCTAGAAATCTTCAAAAGTTTTTGGTTTAAATGGGGTTCCTGAATACCTACCTACTCTCAGAGTTAACTCATCAACCCATATTTGTTTTATTTACAGGAACCCCTAGATTAAGGAGTTCACACTCTGAAAGTTTTTTTTTTTTTTTACTTTTTTATCTTCTCTAATTCAGGAGATTTCTACTGTTGAACATCTCTTTGAAACATCCTCTGTAGCTTCAACCTTCTCGAGGCATGCCACCACATCGATAGATAATCAAAGTTGATGAGTAAGAGTCTGAATTAGAGAAGAATTTTTAAGTCTGTGATGTACCAAAGATTGTATTTAATTAAACTTCTGTGAAACATGTATACAAAACACTCACAAGTTTTTAGAAATCTAGAATAAAAATTTAGTCCAAGAATACATTATTTTATGAATATTAAGAAATGGAACTCAATCGATTATTTAAGTAAGTACAAATCATTCATTCAGAGAAAGAAAAGATTTCAAAACTGATGAAACAGACTTTATTTAAAAAATAAACCAATATTTACAGAAAAGACTTTAAGTCAGACTAGATTGAAATTGTATTATCAGCATATTTTCTTGGATATATTTTATCAGACCTGGGCAATTTCGTGGCTTATTAGTGATGGTTGGTAATTTGCTAGGATTCTACTAACATACCATGAGCTCATCTCTTAGAGCCTAGAACAGAGAATTCGGTCCAATAACAGGCTTTACGCTTACATATTAATAGAAACAATATACAAGCCATCAAACAACCATCTTCTATTGAGATTAATATTGCCAAAAAAGAAAAAGAAAAAAAAAAAAAA